TTCTGAGAGAACTGCAGCTACTTTCACACTGCAGGCCTTAATGCTCCATTCCAATTTTTGTTTCTTTTTTTTTTGTGAAATCCATTTTTTTGCATGGTCATTCGCATTCATAGATAAATGCAACTAGACCCGATAATAAATCTAAAAGTGTTCCCACGTGCACAGCAGAGGATGCAATAACATCACACACAGCAAGCACACTCAGTGTTTGTGTTTAAACAGTTAAAACAGTTTGTTAATTTTTTTCTACTCAAGCCAGAAACTTGGCTTTCTCTTCACTGACTACTCTCCGCACTATCGCCCGCCATTGTTGTTGTTTGGTTTTTTGTTTTTTTTGTTTTTTTGCGTAGCAGGACTCCGATAAGAGGCGTTTGTTCGAGTATCAATGACATGCAAGCCGGATGAAGTTGTAAAGACACAGGTCAAATACGAAACTGCTGATGGAATGGATATGAAGTGTGTGGTAAAGACACTTGTGGAGCTTGTGTAGGTGTACACATTTTCAGTTTACATGAATGTGAATGCATAGATCTGCATGTTTGGAAAACTACTGGACTACAGAGTCTTAATCTGTCAAGACCAGTAGAACATTTTAGGCAATAGTGAATCAGTTCCTTAAATTTTTATTATTTCACCTTGGGGAGAATAAAAGCCATGAAAAAGTTTAATAAATGTTCATTTATATTTCTTCTTCTTTTGCACTTGATGCAGTAACTGTCTCTAAAGTTACTTCAGTGGGGGAGTTCAGTGTCGGGACCTGATGATCTTCCAAATCAGGCATGAGCAACAATCTGCTGAGTAAATAATGTATAGGTCTTTGGAGTGATGTCTATGAGAGCCAACAGCGTCCCCATTTTGTTGGTGGGAAGACACCAGGTGCTCGACGGAAAAAACACCCCAGGTATCTGAAGATAGAGAGGCTGACCGCTGCTCGATAAGAAAAACACACTAACACCAAGGCTATGCTGACACAAAGGAGGTTTTTCGCAAGCAATCCGTCAATCAGTGACTCGGGTGGTCAACGCGAACTCCAAATTTGGAGCATTTTATGAACATATCTTATGAAACGGTGAAGGGCCTTTATGAACATGTGACATACTAGTCAAAGCCATTGGTTGAATGATTTCTCCTTAGAATTGAAATATGTTTTATGTTGTATCGCCTGATATATTTGCACTAAGTCCTAATTTGACAGTCAACAGCGTAAGCATGCTAACATGCTAAACTATAGATTAGCATCAGAACATTTGTACAATAATGTTAATACTAAGCCCTAACCTGCTATGTGTACATTTTTGAAAAGCTAAATTGATGTGTTTTTCTGCTCTTGTTAGATAGTTTGACATTCTCTTCAGTACAAAAATGTATTAAAATGGCTCTGTTATAATGCATATAATTTCTGACCACAGCATCTGCCGAAAGAACCACCAGTAATATAAGTCAAAGGCAACAACTCTGCTGGGATTTTTTCAGTATTTATTTTCCCTAATGCACAATGATCTTCATGCAAAACTAAATGTTCTATGTAGAAGCAGCTCACACATACTACTACCTTTTATCTTAACAGAGAAAAAACACACGAGGATATTTCAGAGGGTTCACCAAAAGGCAGAGCCAAAGATGTTCCAAAATCCACACGTGAGGGTTCATTTTCACGATTAGAGCGTTGGAGATGCCGTTTTCTTTTTTTTATCCATGTTAATCTGGTTTTCACTGTATTATTAAAAGAATGTATATATTTATTTAGATTTTGTGTGGAATGTTGTATATTTTCATATTTATGTATATATGTATAGACATGTATATATGTATATACCGTTGTATATATGGAGTTGGTAACAAAAAATATTACCCTTTGGGATTATTAAAGTATTTCTGATTCTGATTCTGATTCTGAATACATTTTTAACTATTCACAGTGTGGTCGGAGAGTGTGAATCATGTGAGTCAGTCAGTGCTTGAGACAGTTCAGTTGGTTGAGTCAGCTTTGTCTATCAACATATCATCTTCTTCCACACTGCACCTGTAATCAGATAAATGCCGTTTCATCATTATTCAGCTGTCAAAAGCTTTAGCACAGAGCGCATTCCTCGAGTTCTCGAGTGATTCTGACCATTCCTTTTGTTTGACATACAAAGTGCTGACATGGTTTCCCGTTCAAATTATTTTGAGTGAGTAAAAGTGTGTATTTTTACACTTCCTTTCAGTGGAATCAGTGTTCTACAACATCCTGACAGAATTCAAACAGATAAAAACTGTTATACTATGAAACAATCAGGGAAATGATCTGTGACAGATTACTGGGCAAAGGGTGTGTGTGTGCGCACGCATGTGAGTGTGTCGGCGCGCTGCAGCCTGTGTGGTGCCACAGTTGTTGGCTCTCACACTGCTCTTCAGCCTGAGGGCCTGCATGTGTGTTAATCACTGAGGTAAGAGAGACTTTATTTCTACAATATGATGCTAATTTTGCAGATATGCATCACTCAGAATGTGGATGACACTTTTGATAGTATTATTTCTCTGGATAAAACTTGAAACCAATATCTTCTACTTCTGTTTTGACTTAACTCAGAATGGTCAATTAAACCTGATGATTATAACATTTTTTTGGTCAAGTGTATCTGAATATTTGTGCAGTTCCTTATTAAATATCTGTTTTTATCTGGCTTAAAAACAGGTTATAAACAGGTTTTGAGTAGCCAAGACAAAATACTAGTGTTTTACTTAGCATTTCTCTAACTTAATACTTACTTTATTACAGATTTAAAAGTGATATATTTTTTTAAAAATGGGAAAAATAATCTGGATATTAACTATTTTAATGTTTATTGTTATTATTTTTCTTGTGTCTATCCCATTTGATAAGTTAATGAACGGGTACATTTGACATCTAGTTGAATGCTTTCTTATTGTTCAAAATGGGAAACAGGAGCCCTGATTTCACAATAATAATAGCTTTTACCAGACTCAGACATTTTGCACGCATCCTACACGTGTTTTTGTCAGTCCCCGACAAAGTCCTCCAGCTCTGGTAATCAGTCATTTAGAGTTAAGACTTAAATTTAGGTTCAACAATGAAACACAATCGTGTTTTTGTTATCCGGGGGCACTTTTTTCTGCTCAGACGTCCACGCTGTTTTGGGCAGAAACAGTGCGTTTAGGGCCCCAGCGTGAGGTCCACACGTCGCACCGAAACCATACGTGACGGGGTGGACGATGCTCTGAAGACGACAGAAAAAAAAGCCCCGAGGGGCTTTTGGAGTGCACCTCAGCAGAATCAAATCACATTGTCCCGCTTTTTTTTTGTGTTTTCCATGCCAGGACAATGGAGAGCCGAAGGGGTCCGTGCTCACTGCCCACTGTCCGCTGCCCCGACACATTACAGCTCTAATTGAGGCATTGTCTGTCCATTTCTCGCCTTGCCAGAGCCGTTAGAGCCCACGGCGCCCACGGCCCGGAACAAATCCCACATGTCATCTGCACTCAGGTCTGTTTTTATCAAACCGTGTTGATGTGAAAGGGGGCGAGTTTAACCTCGCTTAGTTGTGTTCCCTCTTATCTAACTCCCGTTTTCCAAAAAAATATGATTTGGGTGTTTAGTTCGATTGTGTTTGTTTACCGAGCTCTGAGTCCAAACAAAAAAATTTCAGGTTTCTGCTTCAGCTGCTTTGAAAGAACCAGCTTGGTAGTCACCAGAATAACTTTTATGTTTCAGTAATGGTAAGTACACAGATATGTAGAAGCTCTTTAGCCTAAATTACTGGATTCTTTCTGAGACAAAGAAAAGACGCAAAGTTTCCTCAGTGTGCTTTGGAGTCTATTGCAAATAAGCCAAGAAAGAGACAGGAAACAAAACCTAACTGCAGAAGATCTGACGGAGCAGAGACAGAAGGGAGACAACTGCTAGTCTTCAGGCAGAGATGAACTGGAGACTGATCACAAAAGTTTCATCCAGAGAAAAAGTCTGTGGGAACAGCTGGGAACTCTGTGGGACTCAATAACCAGAGAAACTGTCAGAAGGGAGAGAAAAACAAGCAGAAGAATCATGGAAACTTCCATCCAGAGCAGAAAGATGAAGTTTAAGCTTATACTGAGCAGAAATGGAGCCTTTAGTTGTTTTCACGTTCTTTACAGGATACTATGACTCATTTGATTTGGCTAAGAATAATTCATGTTCATTTGTCTATCTAGTTTTGGTTTCTTTGCATCATAAAAAGTCCACACAACAAAATATGGCTAATTTAATTAACTTGATAATTAATTTATTTGTTAAATTTATCTGCACAATGCAACCTATCTAAATAGATTGAATATTTGTATTTCAACATGAGTCAAAATCGATTTAAAGAAAATGCTAAGTCAGAATTATGTCATATATTTGGATTTCTTTGAATAGAAATGACAGCATTTACCAGTGAGCTTTTCTAAAACAGTAATAATAACGAACAATTTGCCCTAATTTCATATTTCAGGTACCTACTTTTAGCTATAAAATGCTTAAAGGACCCTCCATAATGCTTTGTTAGAAATGTTTAAAAGGAGCCGCATGATATGAAGCTTAAACAACACGTCCGTGTCACAGGTCAGCTCTCTCCTGCTGCTGTTTGAGGTCACCAGTAAATGCCAGAGGGGGCAGAGCTCCTCCAGCTGCTAACTGATTCGGACGTGTCTGTATTGTATGGTACAGTGAGACTTCAGCCCACCCTCTGACAGCGGAGGGAGAAAACCCGAGCCTCGTCTCTGGGAAAAACGCTCAGTTGAATTAATGCCACCTTAAGAATTTGGATCTTTAGTAAGCTAGCATTTTTTCTAATTCCCACATCAAATTCCACAGATGTCTGTTACATTTAAGAAATCCTGTTTATTTGGTTTGATGGCTCCACTTTTAATTGATGATTTATAGGAGGCTTTCAATTCCACTGAATCTATCTGAAGAAAGAAAGGCAAAGCTGGTCAGACCCAGAGGACCATAATTAGTTGACTTATGGGGAAATGAAGAGGTGGCAGGATCAGGGACAAAAACTTCTATATTTCTATGTCTGGGGGGTGAAATATTGTATTTAATCAATACAGTTAAGGTTGATGTCAGTAACCCTCCCTCCCAAAACACATCTTGTGATTCACGTATGTTGCAATTTGGGAAGAAAACTGATTCAACTGGAAAGGGAAATTCACATAGACTGTATAAATAGTATCCATAAGAGCTTGTTCAGTGGTTTGTTTGTCCTACAACTCTTCATGGTAAACATAATTTAAACTAAGGCCGGTTTTATTTCAAATAGCTCTACCAAAATCATTGATTGTAGACACAGTGAACTTGAGTAAAGTAGGTGAATATGAACCATTTTTAACACCCCTTTGTTTTTTTCTTTCTTTTGAACAAACCTCTAACATTTGTAACCTCTGAAAAGCCTCCGACTACAATCATCTGTAAAGTTTTGATCTCAACTCATTCTAATTCTGCAAAAAAGCTCAGACTTTAGAGAGCATAGAGAACGAATGTTTCTCTACCTAGATATGTGTTTTAAAAACTGTAGTTACAATTCCAAAGACCCATATAAAAAACTTCTTAGAGGACGCCAATAAAAGGTTTTCTTTACATTTCTACTGTTGTCCATGAAAGCACTAACATCTTCACATATCTGTCTTTTTCCTCTCCCTCTTCTCTTTCGACAGGCTGGGACCGATGAACGCTCCCTATCCAGTATCCGTGTCACATCTCTGTATTATCTGTGTCCTCATGCATGCGTGTATCCGTGTTATGTGGTGCCCATAAACACTTGATTTTGCCTACAGATTGTTGTTCCTATAAGGTTAATCAACAGAGTTGCGAGTTCAGGGCCGTGCAAAGGTCCACGTTGGGTTTAGGAAGAATATTGAGGTGTCTAAATGTGATGTGAGGGGTGAAAAGGGCTTTGTGGGTGTTTCCAGCTCCTCAGGATGACTTGTTAATCTCTGCAGGCAACTGTGATATCATTTTTTTCCTCACAATCACCTGCTGAGATGATCCAGTCATTCTGGTTACCGCTGCTGCAGAAATGATTAAATGGTGCCCCCTGGTGGCCTCTGGAGGTAACTGCTGGTATCGGTTTTTCATCCAATTCAAAGGAAATAGATGGGGGAAAAAATCTAAAACGGGTCCAGCGTTTGATAGGATTGAAGAAAACAACTGTGGTCCAGTTAAATCTCAGCTGGCAACTGTGAGCTCAGCCTGCCTCATGGTGCCAGATGAGGTTCACCTGAACATGGTACCATCACAGACCACCACATATTTCATTCAGACCTAAAATGTGTGGAAAACACGAAGTACTGTTGCTCAAGTTTAGGATTTAATTCTAAAAAAGACACCAACATAACGCTACTAATCAGTAAAAAAAAAACTACTGGTGACTTTTTTTGCCTTCATATCAGGTTAAATAGTTGATAAATGATGATAGTTTTGAGGTGGCTGGTGACAGTTTAATTTGAGTGAACTAAACCTTTTCCGACTGGTGTGTTTGTTTGGTTGTGTGTCTGCAGTTCAGGGTGACTGTGTATCGGACGTTGATGATACTGCATCAGGAACTGATGAGAGAGTCCAGACAGGCCATCAGTTCTTTATGCAATGCCCTCAGCAGTCGGAGATACTTCAGCAGCTAAACCGGGAGAAGATGTCGTTGCTTAGTCCGCAGTTCAGAAAAAATGATAAAAGGAGTGTTCTAGGATATTAACTTTAATAGATTGTTGAACATATGATGAGTCGATATACTACATATTGATATAAAATCATAAAGAGGTCGATTCACTTCAATTTCATCTAGTACTGAATCATAACAAACGTTAACCTGAGGTACAATACAATTCACTTTAAGACAGTTACAATTCAATTGATTCTTACACAATTATTATCAAATAAAATAGAAATGAGTCCAATTTAGTCAGAGCCATTAGAGTTTTTTTTCATCCAGAATTAATTGTGATCCAATCCTCGATTCTAATCCTGTACAACACGACTGCGGAAATAAACAAAAACTCCCTTCTAAGGGCGGCCATATTCCTGGACTGGCTTGAGGTTGAGGGGACAGGAAAGAGGGGGACAACCAGCGGCCATGACACCAGGACAGAGACACCTGCTGAGTGAGAGAGAAACACAAGTCAATGTCAATAATATCACATGTACATGGAGAGGACAGAGAGGAGAGTCATTCAGTTCACTGTAAAGAAGTCTTACGTTCTGTCTAATTCACTACAAAATGAATGTTTAGCAATAAAGAGGACGTTTCAGGTAGAGACCAAACTGCTTTATTATTCAAGAACTGAAAGAAAACGTTTTTAAAAAGTCACACTTTATCAAGAAAAAATATCCAAATGGTTCAAAAGGCTAAGACATATCATATTGAACTTAAAGTGAGTTCACATTTTCGAGTAATGAATGAAGGGACAATCTTATCCATACATGCCATATTAAAATGTGTTAACTGGACGATGACGAAATGGCAGAGATGACCCAAATGCTATTGTAAATAAGTATGTAATTACAAACTATCCTCTTTACAGATTTGTATGAGAGGCAAATAACTGCTTGTTTGTAATGTAGTGTCAAATTTCAAACAGTAAAAAAATATCCTTAAGTGGGGTGTTAGGATAAGAGAAATCCAACCTATTTTGGATTTGCCCCACAAACTGTCCGGGAAAATCAGGCAGAATTTTTCCTCTTCTCGGCTGTTGGGTCAGCAGAGCAGTTTTCCTGTGATGCCGCTGGATCTTTGGACCCTACTTGCTTTAGCTCAATCTGGGCTTCTCCATCTCCATCAGCCTGCAAGTGTCTGAACAGAAAGAGAAGGGAGCAAAAAAACGGTCAATTCTCCCTGCAAACGAACACAACTCACAAAAACTTTGTTCAGTCTTGTGGCACTTTCCTGTAGAACCAGGAGCTATTAGCTTGCAGCTAAACAATGAAGCCAAGCTGATTTTAAGGCTAACTGTCGTATATTAAGAAGTAATCCCATCAAAGTAGCTCCTCTTTTTTGTTCCACCGATTCTATTGACAGTAATCTAATGCAGCTGTTGTCAGAAATAAGGTAGTCTAGGGAATCCTAAGTCCACTGTGCCCATTTTTAGTAACTGTATTTTATTAGATAAATGTCTGAACATATTACTGATCTACACTTTACAAATAGACTAAAGGACAGAGAGAGCAACTTTGAAATCCGTTTGATCCGTTCTGATGATCTACTCCAGAATCTGGGGATAAAAAACAAAACACAGAAGCTCCGTTTTCTGTGTATGTACCTTCCTTCCTCCACATCCAAGATGTTTTCAGGCAGTCGGACGTTGAGCGTTTCCGGGAGCAGGAAAACGAAACAGCCGCTGACGATCCCGGTCCCGGCGAAGATGACGGGGGGCAGAGGGAGCCACACATCCTCCAGCAGCATGACCATGGGAGCCAGGGAACTTCCGATTCGACAGAGGCACGACGTGTAGCCTATTCCACACTGCCTGTGCGACAAGGGACGAGATTCAACCTTCCCCCGGACTTCCTCTTCATCACATTACTGTATTTTCATCTCTTTACTGTGTAAAATGAGCCATAGTCCAAAGTTCTTTAGGTCAGTGTTTCCCAATCCTGGTCCTCAAGGCACCCTGCCCTGCATGTTTTCCAAGTTTCCCATGCTCCAGCACACCTGATTCCAATGAATGGGACTTTAGCAGCTTTCTGCATAGTTGAAAAGTCGTTCCATTTATTAGAATCAGGTGTGCTAGAGCAGGGAAACTTGGAAAACATGCGGGGCAGGGTGCCTTTGGGACCAGGATTGGGAAACACTGCTTTAGGTGGACGCCTGAGGTTCTTACCTGAGAATGGTTGGGAAGAGTTCCGAAGAGTAGAGGAAGGCAGTGGTGAACGCTGCCTCAGAGAAGCCCTTAGCCACCACGGCAATGCAAGTACGAAGCACAGAGAACTCTGTGGGAGAAACAGAACAAATAAAAGCTTGGGTTGGCGGTTGGGTTCTGTAAGTGTGTGCGCATATGTGACAGGAAACAGCCGAACCTAAAGGTATGGCCGTGTTGATCCCAATCAGAGCTCCGGTCGTGATCAGAAACCACGCCTGACCGTTCCGTCGCCCTGTGCAGTCCAGGACAAAGAAGGTGAGGATTTTGGCCGGGGCTTCGATGGCACCGTAGATGAACTGAGTGAGGTAGATGCTGACCCCGAACCCGGAGATTTTGAAACTGATCCCGTAGTATAGAAAGGCAACGGCGAACCTGACGGCGCAACAGAACGTTCAGAACTAAAACACCTGTAAATCTGCTCAGAGGACAATGCTTCTCAAAGGGTGATGGGGTACCAGAACAATCCAGAACAGAGGGTGATTTTCCTGAGCTGAGGGGTTTTGACCAGATCCAGGTAGGTGTGGTTCTTTTCCGCAACTTCAGACACCGTTACCTTCCTCAGAACCTGAAATAACCCAAGAATGTGACCAACAGGGCAACGCGTTGACTTCATAGCCACCAGAACAGTTAGGTGTGTCAGTCAGGGCAAAAGTGAGCCAAAAAGACACAAGATCTTTCAATACAGACATACAAAAACTAGTACTTCCGCATTTCTTCAGTATTTTTTTTAAGGCTGATTTACGATTTTACACTTTAATCTGTTCATTTTCAAGAGTAAACAAGACTAAACAATGATCGGCCCAATCTTCATCCACTTCCTGTTAACATATATCAAATTTGGTCAGTTGGAACTACACACATTTAGTAAAATGGAGCCATTTTAGTGTTAAAGTCTTCTCCCAATGCAGCAGTTTCGAATGTAGACGGGACATGCAAGGTTTCCCGAGGTAGTGGCTGCTGTTGAATGATTTGTAATTTTTTCTACTATATATTGTATCTTTTAGTCTGTTTTTAATACTCATCTTCAGTTTCCTAAACTTAACAAGTAGTTTACAGGCAGGTAATGTAAGTTTTCATTATTACTACTGAAGCATGACATCTGATAGCATGAAGCTATACAACAAGTTTCTGTGTGTCAAAGGTGACAGTAAAGCTATCCCTACTGTTAAAAACCAATGCTAAACTCTATTGACCAAGCAGTGGTATGAAAGGGGTTTGATCGCATTTATGAAATCATTATTTCACTCTTCATATTATAATCAATTCTAAAATTTAAGAATAGAATTGTAGTTTGACTATGACTATGACTTATGCATAAGGATTATTTATCTGAATGGGATTAAATCCTGGTCAGAAAATGGTTAAACTGAAAGAGAGAGAAACCTTAACTTTTTCAGGGTGTGAATTTGATTTCAAAAGTAAGAGATGGAGTAATGAGTAGGAAGTGAAACAAAAATGTGTCAGAATGTATTTTAACCTATCAGAAGGTATTTATTACACCCTCATACTATTATGACTGGTCATTATTATATTTACGTATTAAACTATTTTACAGTAAAATAGAAGCTCTGCAGTTGTCGGTTTCATCAGAGATTGACACATACAGATCAACAAGGAAATTATTTGAGTCATTTTCCTCTTTATTTCTGGATCCCTGATAAATTCTTTGTAGCCTGCATGAAGACCAGTGCTAAATCCATTAGGTAAAGAAAGTCTTAGACAGAGTGTATATGTCATGTAATATACATTTACGTTTAGTTGTTTTAAGCATTTTGTTGCCTTTGATGTTGTAATCATTATTACAACTTGTGTTAATTCTGCTTTTAATTAGAACCAATGACAACAAATGTAGAGCTGAATCTAAGATTTTGAAGACGGTGAAAATATAGATAAAACTGTAGCGGCAATTCGCGCATCTTGAGTGTCCTCTGAACCACAGTGAGTAAGCTGTACCTCAGTGTCCAGTTTGGGTGTGTTTTCATCCTTTCTATTTATTTTAGCGCATTCAACCAGATACTTCTTGGCTTTCTCGGTTTTGCCGTTGACCAGCAACCATCGGGCTGATTCTGGCAGCCACCTGAAGACAAGGAATCGGTTTCCATGAATACAATAAAAAAAAAGCTATCTGTTACTGGTACGAGGGGCCGAACGGTCACCTTACCACCAGGAAATGATGGAAACAATGCAGGGCGCCGTCACGGCCAGCGTCAGGTGCCTCCAGTCTCGGATGAAGTAGGCCAGCAGGGCCAGAAGCATGTTTCCCACGCTCCACGACAAGCTCATGATCGTACCAGTGAAGGTCCGGTGCTTTATGTCCGTCCACTCGATACCTGGGCAGGAGTTCAGGTCAAAGGCAGCGCGTTACAAAGGGAGCACCCAAAAGCTTTTAGTACATTTTAAAAGTCTAAAATGATTCATGCCAGTGAACTGAATGTGAAAGGTAACTACCACTGTTTGATTCTCAAGTCAGGAGACTTCTGTTGGACAGCACAAGCTTCTGCTTTTGTTTTTTTTTAAAGTTCCAACTGGCCAAGCGAAATGCCAGTAATAGCATTTACAAAAGCTAATCAATTTCGTCAATCAGAGTTGTAAGACAGGCTCAGAAACAAATAAAAATCTGTTCACGGCATTTCTACAATGAATAAACAAGCATTTAAAATAAGGATTTGCATTCTCTACATGCAGCTTTTACCCAGCACCACCCCGATGATGGACAGCCCACTGAGGGCCATTCCGCACAGCGTTCTGGACACGGCAAACATGACGTAGGAGGTGGAGAAGGCGGAGGCGGTTCCCAGCACGGTGGTGGCAACCAAAGCCACCAGGAGCATCGACTTCCGACCAAACCTGCATCCCACAGACACAAAATGGTCATCATCGCTTACACAAAATGGTCATCATCGCTTACAAAACAGGGCCTCACCAATACACTGTCCAGTCCCAATGTTTAATGCATTTTACATCGTGTTTAGGCACAACTCTGGTTTGAGTAAAGGGAATTTATCATATTTATTTGAAAGACCATGTCTAAAGACATTATGAAGCTTTGTATTTGAACCCTCCTCGCTCAGACCAAAATGAATCCAAACCTCGACCACATCACAAGGGAGTCAGCAGATCTAAGACGAGCAGAGAGAGAGAAGAGCTGCGTCTGTGTGTTTGGTCATGTGAGGTCGGAGTTGACATTTTAGGGGTTAAGCTGTTCATTGTACACACTCGTGAGTACAAACACACACGGACGAGGTTTAATTACCAGAGTAGCAGCTGACTTTGTGCAAAATTTGCTAATGACAAGATAAATCGCATGGAAAATGTGTGGTAATTTAATATGGAAACGAGACAAAGTGTGAGGAGAAATATGTGTTTTAAAATAGATAAACAATAAAGGAATTCTAATTCATTTTCTAACCTAATCTATGGTAAATCTGAATGTTTTTAATTTATAATAACATTTCTTGATTAGAACCTAAGCAATATATTAAATCGAAGGTATTACATAGGCATTGTTGAACTCTAAAATTGCTGCTTTTTTGAGGAACTTATACTATAATTAATTACAATTTTTAAAAAAATGGCAAAAGGATATAGCCCAAAAGTAGGAACAAGACGAACAAAAAAATCGATATATATGAAATACTAATAAAAGTAAAACAAAACAACATAAAATGTTGTGACTTATTCACCACAAAGAATTTTTGAACAGCAAAAAAAAACAGTCAGTCACCATTTAAAGTGTACTCAGATAACAAATTGTGTAATAAATCTTTAGGCAGTTATCTTTATCTTACATACATCTTTATGTATGAATCGATGTACAAATCTATCTATTCTATAATGGCTGAATTAATTTCAGGGTCAGAGGAAGGCTGGAGCCTAACCCAGGTAGGACACACTTTGGATGGGTTAGGGTCAACAGTGTCTATCCCACTCAAACGGTCATTCAAACACGTTTTTGTTTTTCTTTTCTTTTTGTTTTGAGTCCAACTCATGTGCATTCTGATTCTGACTGGTACCTTCAACATTGGACCATGAACAGGGACACCACCTAAGAATCTGTTTAGGAAAATGCACCGTAGCTGTTTCACAATCCTAGATAACAATGGCACCTAAAAGGTAAAACCAAACAAATGATGTTCTTGAACAGGAAACAAAAAGAACCGACGTATTGAGTCACAATTTGAGACCTCGAGTATTTATAAAAATCTATTCATGAATGTATAATGAGAGAAAAAAGTACTTGGATTTGTGATCTAAGGCAGTGATTTCCAACCTGTGGCACGAGTCCCACTAGTGGAACCTGAAGGTATTAAAACAATTAACCCAAATCATTAAAACAATTAATCAATGCAATGCTCATTATCTATTTTCTCAAATTAGGTCAAAATCAGGCTTAATTGATACGAATAAACATCTTAGATCATTAAATCCAAAATGATACATAATGATATAAATGATAATGATATAAATATCAAACCCTTTCATCATTTTGTGTGTGTGAGTGTCTGACTCCAGAATAAATTAGTAATGTTTTTGTCTGAACCAAACCGGGACAGTTCACAGTTAAAGGGAGAGAGTTGGAGGTGTTCTATTGAGTTAATGTGGTGCTTCTTTTTTGGTGGTATTTTACAGAATGCCAATCAGAACATGCGAAAAAAAACTTGTTTGGTTGTTATTGTCAGGAAATATGAATTATTCATCATATCCAAAACATATATCAAGCAATTACTTTCTTTTCACAGCTTAAAACATTTTTGTATAGAAAGTAATGCGACATACAGATAAAACCTTAAAATTGGAACTCTTACCAACACATTTCTTTCATTACCTCTCTGTTTCCATAATTAATAGAAATGGTTCATTTCCAACTGTGCTTCAGATGGAGAAATGGTCATGTTACATCAGCTTATTACACCCGGCATGAGCGTGCACATGAGGAAATATTTCATTTCATAAGACAAAAACTGTGTTATTCGACCATCCTCATTCTAAGAAGACAACTGTAACAATGCAATTGTCAACATAATCTGAGAAAGTCACACAATCTAAAAAATATCAAAGCACATCAAATCGATCCATGCAGGCCACATGGGTTAATGGATTCCAAAACTGTGAAACACAACGCTGAAATCATTCACACTGCTTCCACACAGGGTCAAAGAGTGGCTGCTCCCCCCCATACACGATTTCATTCATATGGCTCATTGGCTAAATGAGACACATTTGAAAATATGAAAATAAAACTACTCCGAATAAACGCTGAGGACCTCACTTGTCAGAGAGCTGTCCAAACACGATGGCTCCAAACGTGACCCCGAGGAAGAAGTAGGTGGCCAGAGCTTGATTCAGATGTTTGTCGCCACACACCAGGTCCCACTGCAATGACATGAACGGGTAAAAACACGGTGGTCAGGGTTTTCACATTGATTTTGGACCATAGACGGATCATTTTCATCCTCGTCATGGCGTCTGATTGGGGTTTAGTTTTTAACGGAGACTTTCCAAAAGTCCTGCTGAACCACGTACAGTTCACAAAAGATGCCTTTGAGTGTTTCAGATCTATTTGTCATGTTTTTTAACAAGCCTGTTGAGCACTGACTCATGACAAATGCAGACAATCAATGAAAAAACTCCATGATAAGCCAAAAGAATAGAAAAACAAGTGATATATTTTCACCAATATGAAATTTCTGTGTAGAACATTGTAGCCGGTTGTATCAGAATCAGATATACTTTAATAATCCCAGAGGGAAATGATTTTATTTATTATTATATTTATTGTAATAACTAATGAAATCATAAAAACATCGGTCAGTTGGTCAACAGTCATGTGTGGGTCAAAGAAAACAGACTTTCTGGTGGAAAAAATCCATAGATTTAATTCAGTTTATCAAATCATTCTTCTATTTTTTATCTTTTTATTTTTTTACCTCCGAGGCAGTTGTGGAGCTAAACTGTGATTGGTCGTAGACCCATCCATTGGGACAGACTATGCTCCTGTTTGCTTGGCTTTGGTTGCTGGAATCGTAGATCCTGCAGGAGCTGAAGGAGCCGTCCTTGTTTTGCGGGATCCTGAGGCCCAGCGTCTCCGGGTCGAGCCCCCAGCCTCCCCCCCCGTCCCCGTCCCCTTCCCCCGGGCTCCCGAGGGAGCAGCGGTGCGGCGGGACGGCGGAGATGAAGTTGTGCAGCAGGAAGTGGAGGGCCAGGATGGCCCGGGGCAGGCAGAGGATGGTCAGGAGCAGGAACTGGAAGGTGGAAAAGCCGCCGATCTCGTCCAAGATCTCCTCGAACCTCATCCTGAGTTCCTCTGTTTAAGGTTGTGTACTGGATACTCACACTACCACTCCTCATCTAAATCTCCGTGTCCTCACTCCGTCTCCAGCTTAAAACAAATACCTCTTTCCAACTGAATGGAAGCCACAGTCGGAGGGAGGTGCTTACTCCCTGTAAACGACGTGCCTTGGATATTTCTATCTCCACATCCTCACGAAAAGAAGTGGTCTCCCTTCACATTTTCAGATGTGATTGGTCAATAAATCTGGGCCTTCTTGTATCAGATATTGACCAATTACACTTTAGTTTGTGGTTTTAAAACACGTGGCCCTTTTTTGGGCATAACATATTCTGTTAAATTGGGTTGAATTAGCTCTGATTCCTCAAATGTGCGTGTCTGGGGGGGGTGGAGAAGGCCCAAGGGTGCAGATACAGACCACAGGGGAGTGGAAACAGACTTATGAAATCAGATCAAAAGCCGCAGTTAAGGCAGATTAGCGAACGATTTGACTCGTCTATTTAGCAGAAACCTCTACCCAAAGTGACCTAAAACACACAATTAAGGTAGGTTTGGGGTAGCATACGGGATCTTTTCAGGATTCGGAGCCCCCCAGAGCCGCTATTCCAAATCCAGTAGTTTTCACCACTGCGGCATCCAGCCACTCCAAGAATCCAAAATTACACGGAGTGTAAGCGAAAAGCAGACTGGTGTTGTGGCGCGCCTCAGGGTGATGATAGGATGCAGCTGCAGTCCGAAGACCACAGAGAACAACAAGGGACTCGAGAGGAAGGGATCCACGAAGGAAAAACAACTACACAGCCGGAAAACAAACACCAAAGTTTTTAGAAACCGAAAGCATGGGGCAATGAAACGATTAAAAAGGAATGAACGAAGCAGAGAGCTTATTTAGAGAGGAGTGAGAAGTGAAGGCAGGAATATCTGAACTTGAACTGTGGCACAGAAAAAGCTGGCAACAAAGAGGAATTGGGAAGAGACTGGATGAAAAGGGCAGGGAACAGAGAACACAAAAGGAAAGGAAGGACTCACAAATAACCAAACACCATAAAACTCACAATGCGAAAATACAATTCAGATGGCAGTAAATGACCTAAACAAACAGGGAAAAGTCAAAACTTGGGACAAAAAACAGAAGATAAGCCAAAAATCCATCACACATAAGGATTTAGATAAAACATTCATCCAATTCCAGCATTCTCCATCCCACCATCAGAGGGATTACTAATTTCTCCGGTCTCACACTTGGTACATGATGAAAATCAAGAAGTGTGGGAAAGGCCTTCCCTTAGGGATACTCCCAAAAAAAACCCCAACAGAGGGCACCAGGAGGGATGCTATTTAGAGCCTCAACCTCCTCCATCACCCAAAGGTTTGCACAAATTAATAATCATTCTTAAGAAGAGTTTAAGCTTAATAAACACAAAATTAACTTTACTCTCAGAACGTAAATCAGTGTGTTTCCCTCCAGGAAACAGCATCATTATCAAAGATTTAAGGTTGAAAGATTGATAAGAGTTGTTTAAAAAGACAGAGACTATTTTATAAAAAGAAAAATCCACAAGAAATAGGAGGCAATAGTAGAGACCAGGTGGGTGACAAAAGTTTCAAAGAATAACAGAGAACACAATGGAAAAAAAACAATGAAAGTTTCTGAAATGAAGCAGAATGACGCCTAATTTCAAAGTTAAAACACTCAACAGGGAACTTTATATGTAAACTGAGGAAGTTGTGGATCAGTGGAACCCTTCAGATTTAAAGGCCTCTACTTAAACTCCAAGTCTTCCTTCAGTTGTAACAAAAGACTTTTAAAAAAGGGGGAAATAGCACAGCGTGTCTGGTGAAAATGGAAGAAACAAGCCAGAAATCACAGACAATGACAGTGATAAACTGTATCTAATCAATTTCTCTAAAAAAAAAAAAAAGAAAGAAAAAACTTCCATCTTTCTCGATGGGGGAGAATCTCATGATTTTGGTCAGAAACTTTAAACAAACTTGAAAAGTCATATCAGAGTTTTTCCTTCTTGGCTGTATTATGTCACACAAGGACAATTAATCAATGGCTGTAATTTTGGGAACATATCAAATGTAAATGAAGCAAGGCAACAGTTACTCGATAACTGATCTTTAGTTAGATGTGCGTACTAAGTTAGAGACACCCTCTTTTTTTTTCTTTTCCATCGGCCGTCTCACAACCTTCCATTCTTTCCAGGATATGTATAAAACATCAGAAAATCTCATTCAAACTATGTTTGAGTTTACTCAAAGTGCACTGTTTTGCTATAAATCGTATATTTTTCTCCTATACTTTTACTTGTATTTAAGTATTGTGTGTTCATTTTGTTACTTGCAGCCCTGTGAAGAAGGTGTTTGGATTTCATGATCTCAGTTATTCACACAAATTTTGTCTTTTTACATATTATGAGATCAGTTTTATTTTTGTTCTGACATATTACGCTGAAAAAAAAGCCCCCACAGGCACCAGGAAAGCTACAACCACCCCTCCTAGGAGTTGATCTAAAGCGATCATTATATTTTGGTTTCTTTGGTTTCTTTCCCTGGTCTACTCACAGATGTGGTGCACCAAAATATCTCTGGTTAAATTCTGTTACTTTGTTTGCTTGTCTTCTCACCATGTGTGTCATTCCCCTGCCGTTTTATTTGTATTTATTTATTTATTTATTTATTTATTTATTTATTTATTTATCTATTTATTTATTGATTAATTTATTGATTCATTAATGTATTTTTTTTGCTGGTTTGATCTGACCTGTAAGGGCACTCTGAGCTAAAAAATTAAAAAATATATATATTTTTTCTTTTTTAAAGCAGGCCAGTGTCGCCACCTGGTGGTATCTGACCGTCGGTGCGCCTTCGCATCCTCAGCTGTCCCCCACTTTTTCATCTCTGAGCAGTTTCATCATCTCGTGTCGTTTTTCTGCGACACAGATTTCACGTTTTTTTTTTTTGTGTGTGGTTTCATCGTGTGTTGAGATACTGCTTTTGCATTGGGTCAGGATGTGGTGCGTTTGTCATACAGGAAAAAAAATAAAATAAATGTGTTATCATCCAATAACCGGGGAGAGGAGGTAAGATGTACGAAATGATTAGACAATATTGTAGTTAATTCGTTGTAGATTTTGGTCAAATCAGTTCTGGGGTGGGACTTTACATCGCTCTATAGGAGACTTGAAGGAGAGAGTGGGAGGATGTGTCAGTGAACCCAAAGGTGGTTTATTTGAAAAGATGTGTCACTTTGTTAAGAAAACCATAAACGTCTGCAGCTGTGATGGTGTCACAAAATATGCACCCTGAGGCCTGAAGCCGGTTTCTGTGCCACTCACATCTATCCATCTCCAGTCACATCTCCAGTTTTTAGTTGTTTTCAACACGGTGGACTATGGCTACTGGACCATGATGCGGTCAAGCCAGTTGGTTCAGTGATAGCCAAAACAGCCATTGTGTGCAGTGAAACTGGACACTGGTGGTAAGAAGTGTAAAGCTTAGGCAAACATTTTTTTACGGAAGAACCATGAATGCTACATACAATGCATTCTACCTAAAGCCCAGCCTCTATCCAAACAGCTTCTTCATGATACAGGATTTGTATGACTTGGTAAGAGTAAAAAGCTGGTCTCATATGCTTTAAAAATCAAATATGAGAATTTAGCAGAGATAAAAATACAAAGTAAACCAGTTAGAATCTGAATGAACACCCTGTTACGCAACCCTATTTTGACTTCAAGGACTGATACCTGGGCTGCGTGCACGGTTATGAAATCGTCACAGTTTCGTATTCACGAATCGAAAGAAAAAAAACATTCGCAGGAGCATTTCCTGAGTTGGTTTGAAATTGGCGCAACTGTTGTGATGCTGGCGTGGAGTCTGACAGGTGTGTCGACACTCCGGTGACCTGACCTCCATGAAGAGGAAACACCTGGAGAGAAATAACTGACTGACCCAAATACAGCATCGGGAACAACTCTCATTCAGTTCTTACTGTTTTTAACAGCTCTTTTGTGTTTTTTTAACCAGGAAATAGAAACTCTGTTAGTTGTTTTTATGCACAAATGAACTGGCCAAGGTAGCCAAGGTAGCTAAGCTGGAAAAAAACCCAACGATACACATCCATCCATCCTTTTTCCATATGTGCTCCATCTAATTCGAAGATTAATGGCAACAGAATGGTGACATACAGCATTTTAAACCAGAAAGACCTGCTTATATCGTGCTTCTGACTTCATGTGACCAGCTCCGTCAGAGCCGGGAGCCATCCAGGAGAAGTTCTGTGGTCATCTCTTGAATGTTCTCTTTGTGCCAGGTGGTGGCAGAACGTGGGAATTCTCCGAGAGTCGTTTACATGATGACGAAAGGTTCTTTTTTAGGGAAACGTTCAATTTAATGGCATCTAACTTTAGAAAAAGGTGACCTACAATGTAGCAGCAACATCGCAGTTAGCATCAGAGCTAACAATCAGTCTCTGTTTGAGCGGGAGTGTCAAACTCGGGCCCTCGGGGGCCGCCGTCCCGCACGTTTCTGACTTCTTTTCTGCTTCTGCACACCTGGTTCGGATTAAGCGTGGTGCTGGGGGACAATCCAATAACACTCCCAGATCTTAATACTAAATCCATCCATCCATCCATCCATTATCGTGACCGCTTATACCCTAACGGGGTCGCTATCCCAGTAGTCAATGGTCAGGGTACACCCTGGTCGATCCACCAGTCCATCGCAGGGCTACACAGAGACACACAACCACTCACACTCACTCCTAAGGGCCATTTGGAATGTCCAATCAACCTAACATGCAGGTTTTGGGACGGTGGGAGGAATTTCTCATTTATCAATGAGGAATTTATCAATGATAAATCTTCTTTCTCATCAACAAGCCAGTTAGGTTGAAACAGAAGCTGCAGTTAGATGTCGCAGCCCTATTTGCCACGTGGTAGTTTTATCTTACCACCATGTTTCAGCCACAGTAATACAATCTAAAGCAGTTATATGTATAATTATATA